ATCTCACTTCATTCTTTTGCATATGGATATCTAGTTGTCCCAGCACCATTAGTTGAAAAGACTGTTCTTTTCCCCATTTAATTTTCTTGGCACCTTCCTCTTCTTCCTCCTCCTCTTCTTCCTTTCAAGTCAGTCTTCTTATCAAAATAGTCTTTATCATGGAGGCTTTTGGCAGGCACAAGCTAGGTTTTGCTAAAATATCTGTAAGGGCTGAGATTAGATGAAAATCTCAAGATGCCAAATAAAAGGGAAGGTACACACACCCTCCTCCCTGAATTGGGCCACTGAACCTGTGGCTCCAAGACCAGGAGAGGCCACGCAGTTCCTCCAGTGAAGTGATGAGGGCCTCTGCAGTGGAGCCCACCCAGCCATAAATGGAGTCTCTGCAGTGCTGCCCACCCAGCTGTTCATTCAAATACTGTCTCTGTGTTCAGTGTGTGTATGTCTTTTAAGGGACATAGGCCACTCAAAGGTCTATGCAAGGTCTCTCTTTACTAAAGCCTGTGTTTCTCTCTTAGTAAAGACCAAAGGGCTAGGTCCACTGTGCTTGAGAAGCTGGTAACCCATGTGGCTACATTTGTGGTTGGGACTTTTGTAGCTTAGGAACCTCTGAATGATCTTCTAGAAGAGAAGGAAACACTAATCCATAATGTAAAGGGTACAAAGAGAGGAAGTCACCTGTAGGATGAGAAACTTTGTTCCACTCCTTTGCTGAAGACTGCCTGCGACTTGGGGTCTACTTTGCCCAAAGGCCAGGGTCCCCATGGAGAGTAGAACATTCAACACGAACCTGGTGGGGATACCCTGGTCTAGCCTGCCCTAGCCTCATGCTCATGTAATACTCCTCCTCTTCTTGGCCTGTTAAACCAAACCCACTGCTGTCCAGTTGATTCCAACTCATAGCGACCCTATAGGGTTTCCAAGGCTGTAAATCTTTATGGAAGCAGACTGCTGCATCTTTCTTCCACGGAGTGACTGGTGAGTTCAAACCACTGACCTTTCAGTTAACCATCTTTTCTTAATGACCCTCATTTTCTACCCAGCTAGTCAGGGGTAAAGAACATGTATCCTCCCTTCTCTGAACCATACCGTTTTTGGAGAGTGGGGCTTTGAATGGAATGAGTGGGGAGGGAAGTGAACTGGTAGTTTGCTCATTCATTTTCTGATGGGGAAAAAATTGCCATTTCTTCCTTGCTGGGAGCCTCAAATTTTAGATTTCAGTACTGGATAGTTACTGCCTATTGGATTTTGATCAGTAAAAATGAGACAGCCACTGTTAGAATCTCTCAGTAGATCACCCCACCTTCAAAAAAATATATACAAAGAGATGTAGTAAGTCCTTTTGGAGGTGATGTTAGTGGGAAGAAAAGGCTAAAGAAAAGAGAGAGACTATCATTTTTTCTATCCTCTCTCATCCTTAAATCTGAGACCTCATCTTTCCCCCACTGAGTCAAGCATGAGTCCTATTGTAGGGCCACAGCCAGGTGGGTAGCGTGGGAGCACAGCCCAGGTCAGCCCTAGGAACCTCCAGACATCCTGGGAAAAGAGGGGTCTTCAGTCACTCCAGTTTGGCCTGGCTTAGCCTGGTTTCAGTGTTCTGTCATTTCTGTGCTGTCTCATAACATATTTCCATTTCAAAAGTACAGAATCCTAAGAACTTTAATGGGAAGCCTCCAAGCCCTCTGAAATTCCTTGCTAAAGAGCCTGAAGAGAGAACAGCAAGTCTCAGACTATTTTCCTTACCCCTTAGGCCTAACGCCCTGTACCTGATAGATCAGATTGGTACTCAGGTTTTGCAGATAACAGTCACAAAGTAACAGCAAGAAAAGTAATGCAGAGAGTACTTTGTGGGTACTGAGTTAGAGGTTACTAACCGAATGTAGACTGTTCTACCTCCCTCAGGTTTCCAAACAGTCCCTAGTGGGAGACCTTAATCACCTGCTGAGTTCTGAAGCTTTGGGATGAGAATGTCACAGGGCAGGTTGGAGGACAGTTTTATCTTCATTCCAAAATATATTCCCAGAATGACAAATCTGTCATATCCCCAGGATGAGTTTGCCCAGACAGTATCAGCATAGAATGCACTGCAATATCAAGAGCAGGGCATCCATAGGCCCAGCTGACACTTGGTAGGTATACTGATGAGAAAGGAAGGGAGGTGTACTTTTTAAAGGTAGTACCTTCCATGTTTTCATTTCTCTTTCTCCCTCCTTCCCTCACTCTCTCCCTGTCCTTCTCCTCACTTTTTCTCTTTCCTTTTCCCCTTTTACCCACTCTTTCTCTTCTTTTCTCTCTTTTCTTGTTTCCTTTTCTAATAAGACAACTCCTCAGGTAGTGAGGGAACAAAATTACAGCATTCCCGGCTATTCCATTCCCAGAGATTATTTCACTTTCCCAGCCTTACCAGCTTCCCTGTGTTGCCAACTAGGCCACAGTGGCTGCTACCAGCCCACCGAGGCAGACACTAGAGTTCTTTGGAGCTCTGTATTCTCCAGACCTAGGCAGAAGGCCCTAGTTCAGTTGAGAGAGGATTTTTTTTTTAAATTTTTTTCAAAAAACTTAAGAAATTTAAGGAAACCCTGAAAAAAAAAAACTAGGAAAGCATGAAATAGATGCATTTACAGAGTACAGATTCTTTTTCCTAAGATAACTAAGGTCTAATTACTTTCCTTCACGTCTGTTGGCTTCAGATGCTAAACCTTATGGCTCAGATTCCTATCCTGAGTTAACTCTGAACTGGTACTGCTGCTAAGTTTGTTGCCATTGAGTCGATTCTCATTTATAGCGACCATGCGTTCTCAAGACCTGCTTCCCCTATATTCTCACTGGGTTTAGGCTCCTGGTTTTCTCCTCTGCTGTTGGACTGAGGTCATCCCTGCAAATGTCCTCACCTTCTAAATGAGAAAAGTATTATCTAAATGTGGAAAATATTTGACCACTTGGCCACAAAATTCTTTTCTACTTTGGATTTAGACCAACCCACAACCTTAACTTGCAGATATCATCTCTTGTTAATCTCTAGAAAAGTAACTTACCAGAATGCTCCCCTTACTACTGACCCATTTCTATCCTATTTGATTTATTCATTAATTGAATATTTATTAAGCACCAGCTGTGTGCCAGGCATTGTGCTAAATGTTTGACATTGCTGTATTATATAATTGTTGTAAGAATTCTCTAAGATACAGTCATTCTTTCAGCAAACATTATTGTATGCCTACAATGTACTATCCCCAAGTACTGTGCTAAGTGCTGAGGTAGGTGTTGTTATCCCTACTTTTCTCCTCTGGTGATACATGTAACTCGCCGAAGATCATTCAGGATAACAAGCGGCCAAATCAGGATTCCAAACCATGATTTTTTTTTTCTTCACATTTCTGGCTTACATTTTTATTACCTGAGTTATATTAAATGGTTCTATAATTCTTTACTATCAATAAGCTATATTTAAAGAAAGTCTTGATTTCTTTATTGTGCTATCGTATACTCATACACGTTTTGATAAACTTTTTATTTTAGAATAATTTTAGATTTACAGAAAAGTTGAAAAGGTAATACACAGGGTTCCCCTATAACTTCTCACCCAATTTCCCCCCTTCACATTACCATGATACATTTATTAAAACTAAGACACTGGCATTGATACATTACTATTACCTAAACTCTAGATTTTATTTGGATTTTGCAATTTTTCCATTAATGTCCTCTCTCTCTTCCAGGATCCAATCCAGGGTACCAGGTTGTGTTTAGTTGTCATGTTTCCCTAGTGGCCTCTGGTCTGTGACAGTTTCTCAATCTTTTCTTGTTTTCCACAACCTTGACAGTCTTGAGAAGTACTGGCCAGGTATCCTGTAGAATATCACCAAATTTGGGTTTGTCAGATGTTTTTCTCATGATTAGACTGGGGTTATAGGTTTTTAGAAAGACACAACAGAGGTGAACTGCTCTTCTCGTCAGATCATACCAGGAGTTACATGATATCCACATGACATGACTGATGAGATAAACCTTCATCACTTGGTTAAGGTTGTATTTACTAGGCTTCTTGTAAAGCTACTATTTTTCCCTTTTGTTATCTATTTGGAAATAAGTCGCTAGATCTATCCCACCCTCAGTGGGGGTGGAGAGGGGTGGGAATTAAACTTCACCTCCCATAGGAAGGGGTATCTGTACATATTATTTGAAATTCTTCTGTAAGAAAATTGGTCTCTTCTCCCCATTTATTCATTTATTTAATAATTTCTTTATATCAGTATGGAATCTAGCCAAACCTTCGTTATTTAATTCTAAAACCTGTGCTGTTTCTGCTACACCAGACAAGAAATGACAAGGACCTATATCATGGCATTGGTTTCAGAGAAATTTATTTTAGGTTTCAGAGATGTTTAAGAGGTAGATTTGATAAGACTTGCTGACCTTAGATGTGAGGGAGTGGTGGAGAGAGAGTGTTTAAAATGACACTGAGGTTTCAGTTTGAGTGGCTAGAAATAAATTTTTGGTTTGAAACATATTTACTAACAAATACGAAGATTGGTTCTATGCTTTGATGATGCTCAGCTTCTTCAGAGGCTGTGTTTAGTCTATATTTGGCCCAGCTTTACTCAGTGCCCTGTTCACCCACATCAGAGCAAACTACTTCTCTTTCTGATTGAAACACCAGGGCCCCCTAGTGGATAGCCCCCTGATGTCCTTGCTGCTGTTTCTTGTCGGAAGGACTTATGGTTTTGAGGGTTTTGTTGTTGTTGTGAGTTTTCCCCCTGGTTCATTTGCAGATCAGAAATACTTGATTCTGTTCTCTGATAAATTATTAAACTCTTCCCATTTCAGAGTTATCAGTTCACCCTCATTTGTGACCTCCTCATGTTCAATAAGAGGACACTTACTCTCCGAATCTCACTCCCACGCTCCAGTACTCTAAACCAGAGGGTAATCAATAGTTGTTTTAACTGATTGTATCTTCCTCCATCTGGTGCTATAGTAATGTTAATTCTTTGTTTCAGAGCCATCATCAACCATTTTAACCCCAAAATTGAATCCTACGCTGCTGTGAATCACATATCCCAACTGTCAGAGGAGCAGGTAAGCCACTATACTCTCTAGAGTGACCCTAGTTGGTGACTAGGATTAAGCAGTTGCCTTCTCTCTAATGCCGTTGAGATTCTGTAACTGAGACTTCTAGGGGAGCAGCAAGAGCCAGGCTGCTGGGAGAGATTAGTAAGGGATTGGTGATAATGCATTAAATAGAGAAAGATGGCTTCTTCAGTGCCACCTGATGGGTTCATTTAATTATATAGAAGATATGTAGGTGAAAATTTGGTGAACTATTATTTTATAGTGGGTGATAATGCATTTCTTTTTTTAATTTTAAGCAGAGAGTCATTTTGATTTTTGAAAATAAAAAATGAGAACTTAGAAATGGATGAAAGTGCCATTAGAAAAACCTTGAGTTTGGCTTAATTTGAGGCAATTTGGCTTATTTTAAAGCATGAGCTCTCACTGGGACAGATTTTCTTTAGTAATTGAATTCCCTTTGTCTTGAGCAGTTATTTCTGAGCAGGTTTTCCTATGGTATGGACTGAGTTGGAGATGCAGATACAGTGATGTGTTTGTTTTCCTTGAGTCTGGCCTGATCTCCCCTTTTCCCAAAGCACCTGCACTTGGCTCTGCATTATATGAAAGTGCAGATGGGGCTTTAGTATGGCCTGGGGTTGAACTTCATATTTCAGAATGAGAGTCTGAATTCTGTTTTTAAAAACACAAAATGAAACATCCTATTCACACAGTCGCCCTCCCTTCCCATTCTACTCTCAAGTCGGAGGTGGGGGTGGGGAGTGGCAGCAGAGTATTCATGAATTGAGGGTACAAGCATAGATTCCAAGCCAGTAAGGAGACCACATATGCTCTGCTCTCCTTTTTTGACAGTGCATCTCATTTTAACCCTTTTCTGAGCCTCTTGCTGGCAGGGCCACCAGCCAGCTATAGTGTGACTGTGTGTTCCAGTGTTCCTAAAAGCTACCCAGCTTGCCCAATGAGGCACCAAGCCTTTTGCGTAACAGGCAAGCTTCTCAGTATTCCCACCAGTGGCTCTTTCCTCAGCCAGATGGATAGGACTCTATTAGTCTATCAGTTGTTCCCTTTCTAACATATTTGTTCTCTTTTGTGAGCCCAGCTGTGAGAATCCATTTTCACATTTAAAACTGTTTTTATAAATGGCTTTCATTTGCTTTTCTCCGCTTCTGCCTATGGAGCAGTCCTGAGTTCTGTTCTTTGATGCCACTGCTCTCTGTGAGGTGCTTGGTGATATTGCCTTTACCTGGGGAGCCTGTTCAAGTCAATTTTACTGTATCATTTTTATGCAAAAAGAATTCAACATCATGAGTTTTGCACAGTGAGAGAAGGGGTGACTTTCCTACCACAGTGAGCTCTAGTTAGTCTAAAAGCTTAAAAAAAAAGGAAGACACATTTTCCTTGTCAGCCACGTGCTGTATTCATCCCCCAGCAGCTTGGGAAGGTCAGGCTGAAATCATTCTCCAGCAGTAGCAGCCGCAGACCAATAATAAAAATCCATTCTGGCGCATGAGGCAATCTGGAAAAGAGTGATTAGCAAGCACGTGTCTTCACCCTCCTCCAACTTCTTTCAAAGTTAAATGAAGTGATGAAAGTGCCTCTCCAGAAAAGTCCACAAACCAAAGATGAGGCAGTTTTGATGGAGAGGGAGAGCACTCATCCTTATGCGAGAATGGGGAAGGGACAGCAACTCTTAAAGATTTATTTAGCTAGTTAATAAATAATTATATGTCTGCTGTACACAAGATGTGGGGCTGGGTAGTGAGGATCCATGGTGGATAATCTAAGTCTAGCCCTTGCTCTCATAGAGTTTTTATACAGTCATTGCCTCTCTTAACAATCTTTTTCACATGGGGGGTGGAGGAGGTTGATACTATTCTGGGGCCCTTTTCAAAACTGCCCTCAAAATAGTTGCTCCTTCTCTTCAACTGACTTTGAAGGGCGTTAAATGACAGCATTCGGGTGTACTTGGTTTTATTCTCAGCACTGTGAGATTGGAAGTATTAGACTGCCTTGTTAATCTCCAACATGTGTTGGAGCACTTCTCTCTCTTCACTTATAAACATTAATGCCAATGTCACTTAATATTAAGAGTATTCACAGCTTCCCAAAGAGCTGGCTTTAGGATGCAGTAGGGCCCTGCAGTTGTTAGTAGCAGACTAAGTAAAAAAAAATCAGGAACTTAATCCCCAAGTAGGTTCTAAAGTACTCCTAAAATAAAAGCCAAAGACCATGAATGGGAGTTTATTTCAGTTAGTAAGTTAGCAGACAACACAGAGGGCTTGGCTAGATCTGCCTGCCTTGTCTTTTGGCAAGAGATGTGTGCGTTCTTGAGTTCTGACAGCCCCAGCCACATTCCAACCTCTGTTTGAGGCATTTCAAGGTGATGCTTGTAAATCACTTATTGCTTATTAAACAAAGCCCAGTCTCTCACACTGGAGTTTCTTTCCAGATATCCGGAAGATAGATACCATTTTTCTGTTAAATTCTCATTGGTTTCATGGAGGGCAAAGCATTTTTTAATCAGTTAATACCATCAGCATGACTGAACGGTCATGCATTTTCTAGCCTAATAAACTGCATACATTTTTATAACGTATATGCAGGTGTCCTATTTGTCTGGGGCTGATTATGAAGTTTGTTCATTTTGACCTCTTTTAGTATTTGACATATCTTTATAAATAAAGATTATGAAGAAGATACAACTTGCTTTTCCAAGAACTGTGAAACTACCCCAGTTTATTCCCTACTAGGTTTGGCATGTCCCTAGTACGTCTTAAAAATTTGTCCTTCAAGGCCCTTGCCCACCTTCAGCTGAGATTACCTCCTTTCTCCCCATTGTTGCTTTTTTTGGTAATCACTCATATGCCCAGGCAAACCTGATCATCAGGGAATAAGGATTCACTAAAAAGTCAGATCGGAAGGTTTAGAATGGATAGCAGCCTAAGTGGTTTCTGACTTAGGAACTTTGAGTCTACTTTGATTCCTTTCATTTTCCAAGGCTGCTTTCTCTCTGGCTTCAGTTGTGTTCACCTCCTCTAGCCTTCTCCTCTAGGGAGGAACACACATAGTGCCACCTCAGCGTATTACCCTTGTAAGACTGCCTAAATTCTGGTCTCCAGCCCTTCCTCTACCAGTGGTCAGCCCCCTGATTTTCATTCCCCCAGGAAGATAACTAAGTCACACAACCTGAGTGTTATGGATTGAATTGTGTCTCCTCAAAATATGTGTTGGAATCCTAGTACCTATACTTGTGGGTGCAGTCCTAGTTGGAAACTGTGGTGACGTAGTGGTTAAGTGCTACAGCTGCTAACAAAAAGGTTGACAGTTTGAATCCACCAGGCGCTCATTGGAAACTCTATGGGGCAGTTGGGGATAGGGTTATCTTTGTGATGTTAATGAGGCCATATCAGAGAAGGGTGTATCCTAAACCTAATCACTTCTGAGTTATAAAAAAGAGCAAATTAGACACAGAAGCAAGGAAGCACAAACGGGGTGGGGCGGGGTGGGAAAAGATAGATGCCATGTGAAGATTGCTAAGGAACCAAGGCACACTGGCGCTACAGAAGCTGAGACAAGGATCTTCCCCTAGAGCTGACAGAGAGAGAGAGCCTTCCACTATAGCCAGTGCCTTGAATTTGGACTAACCTGAATTTGGACTTCCAGCCTCCTAAACTGTGAAAAAACAAATTTCTGTTGTTTAAAACCACCCACTTGTGGCATTTCTGTTACAGCAGCACTAAGAAACTTAAGACACTGGGTTTCACAGATAAATCCCAGTGACCATTCTGCCTGTGCTAAGTAAATGTGGATGGAATACGTTTCAGAGGAACTTTTTGACCCCCAAGGCTAAGGCTTGGGTCCTGTCGCTTTGAGGACATCCTGTCTTGATGAGGCAATGCTCCCTTCAGAAAAGAAACCTACCCTGTCCTAATACCCTGAACTATTTTATACACCCTCTCCTCCTGTTCCTGCTTTTCAAATTAGCAAAAAGACTTTCTATTATTATTGGCTACATCGTATTAGAGATGGATCCACACTCAAGAGGTCTGCCATGAAATTTCTGGAACAGAATTAGTTCACAGGTTCTTGACCTAAGGTTCAAGAATAGACTTTTAGAGAGTTAGTGCACACCCAGAAGTTGTGTGTAAAATTATGCAGATGTGCTTTTTAAAGGGCCTCAGCTCTCAAAGGATGGAACAGTGCAAAACATGGCTTAAGGCAACTTATTATCGTCAGCTGACCAGTATTAGCAACGGGATCTGTGAGTTCCTTTGAGAGACAGATCTCTGCAGACTGTGCTGGTCGTGAAAGGTCATGTGGAGGGGAGAAGAATTAAGTTGGGCCTTAAAAGAGGAGGGGTAGGGATTGGATAGATGGATAGGCATAGATTGTAAAATGGACTCAAAGCCAGGACCTAAAAAGGACAGAAAGAATGGAGGAGAGTCCCAGGGTTCCTATAAGTTATGTCCTTGGGTCATAGAGCACCCAGAGACTGGATAACTTAGAAATACAATTCAGTCACTTAAATTGTTTATCACAGCCTCCATAATTTCTAGTGCACTGTCCAGTTGTACTGCCTTTGATTCAATTCACAAGCCTTTATCAAGGGCCTGGTATGAGCCAGGCTCAAGGGTAGGCATGTGATGGGGCTTAATGGGCATACCTGTCTTGAAATTGGTCTTCCTTTCAAGCATGAACCCAAGAGCTTGCTGAAAATTTCTGTACATACAAATTTAGGAATTTTATGGGAAGATCAGAAAGGTGGCCTGCTGGTACCCCCATATTCCACAGGACCATAGGGCAGTGTAACCAGATTCTTAAATTTTCTACATTAAGAATTTTGATCAGGTATCACCTCCCATTGTTTCTTTAAGTCTCCACTCTCAATAGGGCTTTGAATTTTTTGATTCAGAGGAGGCCTGTATAATATTGTACATTACAAGAGATATATCTGCAAAAGCATTATGACAAAGCAGGGTATCAATCATTTGTGGGAGTAGGTTAAAAAA